GGGTGCAGGGAGGCTGCGGCTCCGGCGGCGGCGGAGACTAGCTTCCGCAGCCGCGGATGCCCGTCCTCTTCAATATGGCGGCTCCGGCAAAACCAAAAAAAAAACCGCTCGACCAGTGGCGGCGGCGGTAGCGGTGGCAGCGGCACTGGTGGTGGCTGAGGCAGCAGCACGACGGCGCAGACTCCCACTAGCCCCAGCGCCGCTCAGGGTCCTGATGTTCCCCGCCCCCTTCAGGCCCCGCCCCCATCGGGGCCCGCCCCTCAGCCCTCCTCCTCCTCCCCCTCTCCAACCCCCCTTTCGCTCAGCTGCTCCTTCTGTTCCCTCTTCCCCTTCACCCAGGGCTGTCTTCCGCCAGGGAGGAGTGGCGCGTGCCTCCGGGAAAGCCGGGCCAGGCGAGAGACGCTTAGAATCCGGAGAGCTGGGGTGGGGGAAGGGAAGATAATGCGGTAAATTGTTTAAGCAACACTGTGTCTTACGGCTGGCCCCACCAGGGTCGCATTAAGGCCAGGAACCCTCAGCTCTGGAGCAGTGTGAGAGCCGTGGCACGAGGACAGGCAGAAATGGGGGAGGGAAGCCCGAAAGGACCTGGCACGCTACGCCGGAGGAGCTGGGAGGTCGGGATTGGCAGGGCGCGTGGTCAGGACAGAGTTAATCGCGCGAGCCACAGCCGCGTCGCTCAGAGTTTGACTTGGGCCGCTTGTTTTTGTTCCATTGTGAGCAGAGGCCCCGCCGGCGAGTACCCGGATGATGACGTCACCAGCCCCCCCCCTTCCGGGATTGTAGGGGGAGGGGCATCAGATCTCGAGACCAAGTGCTGGGCGGTCGCACCCGCGGTGGTTAGGGGGGGTCCCGGGGACACAGCTGACCCACGTCACGTGTCCCGTGAGCCAGCCAGGTCTATGGAACGGGAACCTTTGGGGGCAAACAGTGGAAGGTGCCGAAGGCTGGGAGGGCCGGGCCACCTGCTCCGCGCCGATAGGGGGAAGGTGTGGCTATCTCCTGCGGCGGGAGGGGGAAGAGTTTGGAGTGGGGCCTTCTCCTCACCCTAAGAAGCAGGTGCTGAGAAACTCATTCACATGATTCTGTAGCATCCGTACCTGAAAGCACTTGGGCTTCACAGCTTGACTGACTCTGACGACCACCCTTTAGCCATAGGAGCTCTTAAAACAGTATAGCAAGGAACAACTCGCGAAGTGCCACAGACGGCATAGCGACTAGGCAGTACTAAATGTAGCAAGATTCACCTCTTTTGCCAAATCATCAGCACAATTTACTGTTAGAACCCAGAAGGGCCTTATGAACCCATGACACCCATTATGTCATGGATTATCATCTACATGTTTATATTCTAAAGTGAAGATTATTAGGCTAATCTCAAATAAATGGAGTGCAAGGAACAATACAGCCTACCTTGGATGCTCAAATGAGGAGAAAAGAAATGCAGTTCTAATTTAAGCACAGATGTCCTTTTGAAATAGAAATGCTTGTGGACACCAAATTGTATGCAAAATCATAGCAAAGTCCTATAAAACAAAATCATATTTTGTATATAACAGAGTTGGATTTAGCTATGCTACAATCATTTTAACTTGTAATAAAAAGTTGTTAAAATGGAATCCAAAGTAGTGTAAGGTGACACCAGGAGGTACCACAATGTTATTAGTATCTTAAATTTTAAAACCATTTCCCATATAGTAGACTATACAAAGTTATCACCACAAAAATCATATAATCAGGTGTCCAAACACAAAATTCATAGGCCTACTAATTCACACCACATTTTATCTTGTTTTTATAATTATTTCCATGGTGGCTCGTCTTCTTCCACTAGCTTATGAGCTCCTAAAGTATATACCACCCTCCATGTACACTGTAGGTTTGCTAAGTGCGTGATTGTTTTGTTTAATCCTTAGAATCTTGTGAAGTAGCCAGAGCATATATTGCTATCACTGACTTAAAAAAATTTTTTTTTATCATTTACTTTAGATAACAGAAAGAGTAAGTGATTTGTCCATGGTCACCAGACAGGACTGGTAAATGTTGAACATATGTCTTTCAACCCTATCAAAAGTGCACCTTTAAAAGGATGTCCCTCTCATCAATTCTATTCAACAGTGTACCTGTGGTTCAAACCAGGCAAAAGAAAAAGAACTATAAAGCATCTGGGTAAGAAAGGAACAATTAACCTACTTCTGTTTGCAGATGACATGATCTTGTATATACAAAATCCTAGGGAATCCACTATAAAAAAACTATTAGAACCAATAAATGAGTTTAGCAAGGTTGCAGGATATAAGATCAATATTTTAAAATCAATTATATTTTTATATACCAGCAATAAAATATCTGAAAATGAAATTAAGAAAACAATTTCACTTACAGTAGCATCAAAAGAATAAAATACCAACGAATGAATTTAACAAAAGGACAAGGTCTGTACACTGAAAACTACAAAACATCATTAAAAGAAATTAGACGACCAAAATAAATGGAAAAACAGCCCATGTTCAAGGATTGGAAGACTTAAGATTACAGTACTCCCCAAATTGACCTACAGAGTCAACCCAAACCCTGTCAAAATCCCAGCAGGCTTTTTTGCAATAAGCACATGAAGAGATGCTGAACATCATTAGTTATTAGGGAAATGCAAATCAAAACCACAATGAGATACCACTTCACACCCATTATGATGGCTGTTATCAAAAAATGAAAAATAACAAGTGTTGGCAAGGATGTGGAGAAATTGGAACTCTTGTACATTGCTGGTGGAAATGTAAAATGATGCAGCCATTGTAAAAAAGTTTGGCAGTTCCTCAAAAAGCTAAACATGAAATCACCATATGACCCAGCAATTTCACTCCAAAGTATATATCCCCACAAGAACTGAAAGCAGGGATTCAAACAGGTATTTGTTCACCCATGTATGTAGCAGTGTTATTCACAATAGCCAAAATGTGGAAACAATCCAAATGTTCATCAACAGATGAGTAGAGAAACAAAATGTGGTATAAACACACAATGAAATATTATTCAGACTTAAAAATGAATGAAATTCCAATACATGCTACAACGTGAATGGACCTTGAAAACATTATGCCAAACGAAAGAAGCCAGACAGAAAAGGCCACATGTTGTATGATTCCACTTAATGAGGTACCTATAATAGACAAATTCATACAGACAAGTAAAATAGAGGTTACCAAGGTTGGAGAAGGGGTGGAATGAGGAGGAGTAATGTTTATTGGGTACAGTGTTCGGGATGAAGAAAAAGTTCTGGAAATAGAAAGTGGTGATAGTTGCACAACATTGTGAATGTACTTAAAGCCAATGAATAGTATACTTAAAAGTGGTCAAAACGGCAAATTGTATGTTCCATATATTTATTTTGAAAAATCAATTTCATACAGTCTGGCCTATAAATTATACTGCCCCCAGCAGTTCTAGGGGGACTTAATCCATCAAGTCAAGCTCACCAGCAATTCATTTCTTCCTATGCTCTGTGGCGCTACCCAGGGTACACCATGGCTCCCAGGGTGGGTGTGATGTACAAGACTGCCCACTTTTGACATCTTCCACTAAGTTAATGGGCTAGGAAATGAACAGTTCTGAGTTTAAATAGGTTCAATGTCACAGTGCCACTCCTTAAAGTCCATATAGTCCAGGCCTTCCTTCTTATTTCCTTTGTTTTTAGTTTCTCTTTTCTAACACCTGTCCTTTAGCTTTAAAACTAATTTTTCACTTCCTGGTTCTGCCTTGCTAGGGCAAAGCCTTATTATTTTACATTTCCTCATAAAATTTCCCATTGTACTTCTATTCCCCCCCCTCCCCCGGAGAAAAGCTTAAGTATACTCACTGTTGACCAGAACTCTTAGAGAATAGAATATACAGCTGGATACGTTGTTATTATTTAATACTTTTGGAGCTACACATCTCAAAGTTCTACAGACAAGAGGGTTAAGCGCTTCATACCTGTGGAAATGTCTTCTGGATTATTGGCCAAGCTAATATAAAAGACGAGGGAGCTTTGATAATATGCCCCCTAGAGAAGGCTTTGTGATTTGAATGGAATGAGGAAAGTCCACAATGACTTAGTATTTTTAATATAAAAATGTGATAACCAAGAATTTAAGGAGATGGTCCCATTTCATCTTCATGACAACAAGCAGAGGACGTAGCTAGGGAGAACAAGGTACAGCATGAAAGATCACAGCTGACAATATGCTATTGCCCAAGGATGTTCAATTGAATTTTAGACACCAGTGCCTAGAACAGACATGCTTAAAAATAGTCAACCCATCCTACTCTGGAGAACCTCTCTGAAAGGGGCCTATTGTCCCCCAGGGACTTGGACACGGAGTCCGGGTGCTATGTCACTCATTTTATTCTAGAGTTTTTGGATCTCTTGGGTTTTATTTAAAATTTGAAGGGTCCCATTTTATATATTTTAGGTAAACCACCACAGTGCAAAATAATCTGATCCTTTGCATTTGTTTTTATTAGCACAGTCTTGCTTATTTCATCTATGCCAAAGAAGTTGGACAGTAACAACTGTGCCTCAGGAAAAGTTTGAATCTTCCCAGCACTAATCTGTGGTACAGGTGAATTGCTTCAGCACAACTTAGGGCTGCTAATTATGCCTCACTCCTGACCTTATGCTGGCTTTAATAAATTCATAGCTCCTTAACAATGGTGTAGCTCAGCTCTGTCCACATGTCTGTCCAGAAGATTCCAGATTTTTCAAGTCTTACTTAGCTAAAATATAAGCCTTATGATTTAAATGTGGACCTTCAAAGTCAACCTGACTTTCTCAACCCTTTTCACAATCAAAACTGCACTGCAGTCACTCAGCCCAACCATTTGGTAATTCAAGTCAGATAGCAAGGTGAATCCTTACTCCGCTCTCCCTACATGATTGCAGCCTGGTGAAGCCTCAGCTCCATCTTGCTTTCTGCCTTAGCACACCTTCCAAATCTC